AGGAGGGGGGGGGGGGGGGCATCGCATTTTCTCTGCATCACTAGTTCCGTTTTCAAGTCTCGCTGGTAAAACCTGTGAACTCATGCGAAGCTAGAGCAAGCTTTTCGAGCCACCATGGTAAATGGCACTTGTATGGTACTCCGATATGCCCATTTTCTTCTCTTCAAATTAGCAGAACGGTTGCGACCAATTTCGGTCCTTGTTTGTAAAGAAGAAACAGCCGCGTTGAGTACTCTTCTCTGCTATATTGGCACCGTTAAACATACAATGAAACAAAAGAAGCCACCAACCTGCAAAGCGACTTCCCTTGGAGAAATCCCACCCAGTCGTCGTTGTGTTTCTCGATCAGCGAATCGGCTCGACGATAGTACTGACTTGTTATCACGTACCAGTGCGACTGCAGTATCGTCACAGCTGAACAATTTTGTCACGTTAGACTGCGTTCATACTTCGCGTCTCAAGGCACTACATTTGACAGCGCTACACCGCTAATCGACAGGCCGTTGCACAGTTTTCTGAAGTGTTAATTTTTACTTATTCAGTTCTCAACAAAGGACTAAAATATGTCCCATTTTTGATAGGAAGTTGCAGCAGTCCAAAAATTAGATTGCGCTAATACCTTACGTCAACGTTCTGAATGCGGTCCTTTAGGCATTGTTCACAGTCTGCGACCCTGACGAAACGGCGGTTGGGCGAAAACAATACGGATTGATCGGAGAATCGCCAACCGCTCGTTTCGCCGAACCGCCGCGGTTCGGCGGTTGGGCGAAAAGCAATAGATGCGTATCGATTTCGCTGGCGAAAAACGCTAGGGCGGTTTTTATTTATTCATTTATTTATGCGTCCGGTAGACGCGCTACAACAACATAATCAAAGAGAGTGTATGAGCGTTCAAAACAATGCTATAAGGAGAAGGCACATGTCGGCGCTTTACCCTCAAAACGGGCAAGGTCTGTAGACAGCACAAGGAAAACAGGTTCTGAAAACAACTAATTCAGGATATCAGCGACCAGTGGTACGTTCTTTGGCCAATGCCTACACCCGTCGGCGAAGGTGCCGACGGTGTAGGTTGAGCTAGCTAGGCGAAAAACGCCGCGGTTCGGCGAAACGCCCGTCGATTCGTATCAAAACCCTTTCGCCCAACCGCCAGACTCTTCGCCCAACCGCCAGTCGATACGTATCGAAAGCTTTTCGCCGAAGCGTTTCTTTTAAGAGAAACGCAGGTTCGCAGACTGTGAACCATGCCTTATGTATCCCAGAAGTGCCTTTGCGCGAGCTTGAGCGAGCAGAGGTTCTCCAGAACTTAACTGAGCTACCTGACATCGCCAGTAAAGTATAAAATATAAAGAGTTCGTTCCCTCAAATATTACTAGAAGGACACCCAGGACAGGGCACGTCCTGCCGTGGTGGAAAAGTTCCGCAAAATACTACCCCACTTCTCACAAAATCCTCTCTCGGTAAGACTCTCCCTTTCTTTCCCATCACATACCGTATCTGCTATCTCACTAAATTTCGCCAACCATCTACCACGTTCCAAGTTATCTTTTTCTCATAACCATCCAGTTTTCGTCCAAAAAAATTAGCGAACGAGCGGGGCAGGGTAGGGGCATTAGCGCACTTGAAACAGGAAAAGTCAACATCCGAAAACATTTTTCTTAGAAGCAAATACGATCCTCCCACCCCAGCGATCGAATACGACCACCCCCCCCTGGGCATCGCAAAGCACGGCGTGCTCTGTAATCACTTCCTTGCATAGCCCACCAACAAAGTTTTCCAAAGAAGTGTTATTCATGGTTCAAGTTCCGTAGAAGTGGCGGAAATATCGGCTGATAATAACACTCATGACGTAAAACTGGACAAAAAAAAGATCAGAAGCCCATTGAACACACCTGCTCTCGATTCCGAGTACGGTCAACCTCCTTGTGATTATAATATCGCTTCGGAAAAGTAGTCGCCATAAATTACAATGCATTTTTCAAAAGAAAAACCCATTTCAGCCACATTTTAAATAGAGTTCTTAGCTACCGTAGTCGGAGCTCTCTGCGAGACCATCACGGAAGCGACCTATTCAGCGCTTCCGCGTGGACGCTCGCGATTTGCGGCGGTCATTGCTCGTCGCGTCTTGGCGTGAACACCTTGCAGTTTTCTTATCCAATGGCTACTCGAGTTTATATTGGTCGTTTGTCATATCGTGCTTCTGAGCGCGATATTGAGCACTTCTTCCGTGGATATGGACGTATTCGCGACATTGTGCTGAAGAATGGGTTTGGTTTCGTGGTAAGTTGATGAGATAGAAGTTTGACATGCATGGATTACTCCCGTATTTTTTTAGGAATTTGATGAGCCACGAGATGCTGATGATGCAGTCTACGATCTGAATGGAAAGGAATTGGCTGGCGAACGTGTTACGTTGGAATTTTCGAAGCGTGGTCCTAGGTCTGCTGGACCTGGACGTGGTGGTTATGATCGCTATCCGCCTCCAAGGAGAGATGCCAGGTTTCTTTATCATTTTTCCTGGACACATCATGCTAAAAGTAGCTTAGAATGGTAGGAAAACTCAACTGTGATAAGGGATAGACGGAACTAACAGATTCTAGAGGGCACTTCAGAGGAAGGGTTGTTAACGTATTGAGGAGGGAACTACGCGGCAGTCTGCTTTTCCAGCCCCCTTCTTGTTGAGACAGTATACCGCGTCTTTGGTTGGCTCCAGCATACGTTCGTTCCGAGGTAAATCTGAAGTGGAACTCCTCATGTTACTCTAGTAGCGCCGTAACAAATAAAAGCAGAAGATAGGCAGCAAGAGCCTCGCTTTTCCTCAGGTTTCCCGTAGGGCTACTTTTAATTGATCATTTTCCCGCTTGAAATGTGCTGAGGATCCCTTTGCGTCGTTTCACTCTGTCTCGGCTAGGAAGGAACAGAGGCAGCCTGCAGCGTGCTTTCAGCCCTCTCTCCCTTCCTCTAGAAGATCTACGGATGCGCCCGAAATACGTTAGCACGGAAGATCTAGTTCGATTTATCGTTAGATCCTGTTTGTTGCGTCCGTTTGCCGTCGCCTTTGTTGTGGTTGCGTCTCATTGAAATCTGGGAGTGGTACTAATTTTCTGGCGTTTTAAAGAGGGCGGTCAGTTGTTTTGGCTTCAACTTAGTTTTAAGAGGGGTTGTCTTTGTCTTTTTAGAATAACTGTGTGGGAGGGGGGTCGGGCTCTCAAGTATCGATGACTTTCATTAAATGTCGGTGGCACTAAGCATGTATACCTGTTGTTCGATTGGGCTTATGTTGTGAATGTTGTGAAAATGCAAGTTATAGGGCTGGGTATCAACGCAATCGATCTGGAGGACAAAGCGCAGAGTATAGTGTTTGAAATATTTTCATTACCACCATCTATTTTTCATGCTTTCAGTTCTAGATATGGTCCTCCTACGCAGACTCGTCACCGTATGATCGTCGAAAATCTGTCGACGCGTATCTCCTGGCAGGTGAATGTTTTTTAATGCAATCATTTTCTACTTATTTCAGGAAATCGTGTACGTGATGTGAGCACGTTGTGATGATCGCGAATCGCGTCTGCTCTCCCTGTGTATGCGTCGGGGTGCTGGGATCACGTCTTTTTATTATTTTTTGAGTGTTTGGCCCAATTATCTTTCACTAAAACAGCATCCTAGCTCGTTGACGTACGGTGAGCGAGCGACCGTTCGATGGCGACGTGATCATCGATCGCTGACGTGTCGGTCTGGCGTTTGTGAGAGGTTGGAACTAGCGCGCGTATGGCGGTGTCATGGCCGACGGCTCGTATCGCGTGTGCGGCGACCATCAATGAATACGTGTCTGTCCGAGTTGACGTTTTCGCCGCTGCTCCGGGTACTCGTGAGGGTCTGTGACATCTCCCGTTGAGACGAGGTCGTGACGGTGCCTTTACCAAATCGAACGAAGAACGGTTAGTGTGACCATGTGAAAACTATAGTGGCGCGATAAGATACCTTGCGTAAGATTAGTTCTGAGGCCGCGTTATCTGCCTCACTTAGGCGCATATGAGTCTTACGCTTTTTGACGTGTTACACAGCATTCATGGCAAGAAGTGGAATAAACGGTAGCATTCTTGCCGATATCAGGGGAGGTAGAAGGTCATCTAACGGGCTCTTAAAGTTGAGCTGTCCTTGGATATGTATGGTGGCGTGCTCACGAAGTTGAACTGTTGAGCAAACTGGTGACCACAAGACGTGTGGTTTTATCTGATCAAATAGCCGCGCAATTTCATCAACTACGCGCACAAAATGGTTCCCCTCAGTTTTATTCGGCTGCCTTGAAGCGTTTTTCAAATGTGGGACCACTGCTGTCACCCGCATTCGCTAAAATGTTTTGATAAGCAACAATCGGAAGAGTCGGCGAACCCAGTATGTGAATCTGTACCACTGCAGGAAGGTTAGAACCCGATAACTTCGCTGACCCCACCCGAGTGAAGAATAGGAGTGGCAGAAGCGCCAGCTCCTCCCGCTCGGTCTGTCACCTCTCAATCGATGCTTATCAAAATCTTCTAGCGGTGCGCTTCATTCGCCAACCTTCATGGTCGCAGACTGAAAAGTTCGTGGAGCGGTCATATTCCGCGACTCTCATGTGTCGTGCGAATCCAGTGGCTGGTCGCGGAATACGAACTCACTCTATTGCGTAGCTGAGGGATATCAGTAGGAAATGCTACTCCTAATTATAAGTACCACGAAATGCTGTGTACACGTTGTTAGGTGTTTCCCCCCTATCACTTGTAGGTTTTTCTCTCCTATGGTCGTATTTGTGAGTAATCTTGTGATTTTTGTAGGATTTGAAAGATCTCATGCGTAAAGCTGGCGCTGAAGTCACGTTCGCTGATGCACACAAGACTGAAAGAAATGAGGGGTAAGTCTTTTTGTAGTTCCTTGAATGCTTTCATGACCTTTTCATTTAGAATTGTATGTTTTGCTACTCGTGAGGATCTGGAACGTGCACTGGACAAGCTCCAAGGTGAAGAAGTAAATGGCCGCAAACTTAAGTTGATTGATGATTCTGAAAAAAGTAGTCGTAGCCGCTCTCGTGAGAGAAAGCACTCAAGAAGGTTCGTTTTTTTTCCTAAAAGATGTAGGGTTACCTCTTAACGAAATAATCTTTCCCATTCAGCCGCTCTGGATCGAGATCGAGAAGCCGATCGCGTTCAAGGAGCCGCAGCAGATCGCGTACTCCTTCTCGTTCGCGCAGTGCTTCTCCACAGAAGAACGGTAATGAGGGAGGCGGCAGCAAGTCGAAATCGAAGTCGAGGTCAAGAAGCCAGTAAGTTTTTGGATATCTCGCCGCAGTTCTGTGAGGGGAGGGAACATTTTGCTCTCTCGCTGCTTCACTAGTTCTGGTGTACGAGTACAACCTGTGGATTCTTGTGAAGCTGGAGTAGGTTTGTTTAGCCACCATGGCAAAATCGTTCTCGTAAGCTCATGAAACAGCTCTCTAGATGGTTAAGCACGTCGAAGGAAAGCAGCGAAGGTGAAATC